ATAAATAAATCTCTTAAAAAAATAAATAAAGAAAAATGGAAAAAAAAAGAGTGAGTACCTACCATGTTTGTCTTTCTGGGTCTGGATTACCTCACTCAGGATGATTTTTTTTCTAGTTCCATCCATTTGCCTGCAAATTTCATGATGTCATTGGTTTTTACAGCTGAGTAACACTCCATTGTGTAAATGTATCACGTTTTCCATATCCATTCTTTGATTGAGGGGCATCTAGGTCATTTCTATGTTCTATTATGAATAATGCGGCTATAAACATAGTTGAGCAAGTATCCTTGTGGTATGATTGAGCATCTTTTGAGTATATGCCTAAGATAACAATTGCTGGGTAGATTGATTCCCAATTTTCTGAGAAACTGCCATACTAATTTCCAAAGTGACTGTATAAGTTTGCACTCCCATCAGCAGTGGAAGAGTGTTCCTCATACTCCACCTCCTCTCCAACATAAGATGTCATGGGTGTTTTTGTTTGTTTGTTTGCTTTTTTATCTTAGTCATTCTAACAAGCATAAGATGGTATTTCAGAGTTGTTTTGATTTACATTTCCCTGATGACTAAGGATGTTCAGCAATCCCTTAAATGTCTTTTAGCTCTTTGAGATTCTTCTGTTGAGAATTCTCTGTTTAGCTCTGTATCCCATTTTTTTCATTGGATTATTTGGTATTTAAATCTAGTTTCTTGAGTTCTTTATATATTTTGGAGATCAGCCCTCTGTCAGATGTGGGTTTGGTGAAGATCTTTTCCCATTCTGTAGACTGCCATTTTGTCTATTTATCATGTTCTTTGTCTTACAGAAGCTTCTCGGTTCAGGAGGTCCCATTTATTAATTGTTGCTCTCAGTTTCTGTGCTACTGGTGTTATATTTAGTAAATGATCTCCTGTGCCAATGCATTCAAGGCTACTTCCCACTTTCTCTTCTATCAGGTTCAGTGTAACTGGATTTATGTTGATGTCTTTGATCCATTTGGTATTGTTCAAATCTAAGACGGTCTTTTAATAAAAAAAAAACCCAGGGCCAGATATTGGGGTAAAAGCTGAAAGATCAGAGAAGCAGAGCAAGCCACAGTCACCACCTATTACCTCCTCAACTCCATGAATCCTCTGACCGAAATCCTCTGAGTCTTCACCCCAAAGGATCTTAGCCGAACTGCTTTAGTTCCTGTTTTCTCACACCTTATATACCGTTCTCTGCCCTGCCATCACTTCCTGGGGTTAAAAGTATGTGTGCTTCCCAGTACTGGGATTAAAGGTGTGTGCCACCACTGCCTGACTCTGTTTTCAGTGTGCCTTGAACTCACAGAGATCCAGATGGATGTCTGCCTCCTGAGTGATAGGGTGTGTGCCACCACTGTCTGGCCTCTATGTCTATTCTAGTGGCTGGCTCTGTCCTGTGATCCTCAGACAAGTTTATTAGGGTACACTATATATCACAACAATTTGAACTTGAGTTTTGTGTATGGTGATAGATATGGATCTATTTGTATTCTTCTACACATCAACATCAGGTTATGCCAGCACCTTTTGTTGAAGATGCTTTGTTCTTTCCATTGTATAATTTTGGCTTCTTTGTCAAAAATCAAGCATTCATAGTTATATGGATTAATGTCAGGGTCTTCAATTTGATTCCATTGATCCACTTGTCTGTTTTTATGCCAACACCAATCTGTTTTTATTACCATAGCTCTATAGTAGAGCTTGAAGTCAGGGATGGTGATGCCTTTGGAAGTTCCTTTATTGTACAGGACTGTTTTGGCTATCCCGGGTTTTCTGTTTTTCCAAATGAAGTTGAGTCTTGTTCTTTCAAGGTCTGTGAAGAATTGTGTTGGGATTTTGATGGGGATTGCATTGAGTCTGTAGATTGCTTTTGCTAAGACTGCCATTTTTACTATGTTAATCCTACCCATTCAAGAGCATGAGAGATATTTCCATCTTCTGATATCTTCTTCAATTTCTTTCTTTAAAGACTTATTTTTGTCATACAAGTCTTTTACTTGTTTGGTTTGTTACCCAAGATATTTTATGTTATTTGTAGCTATTGTAGAGGGTGATGGTTCTCTGATTTCTTTTTCAGCCCATTTATCATTTGTGTATTGGAGGCCTATTGATTTTTTTGAATTAATCTTTACTGAGAGCTGCTGGTAGCAAAAGGCTATGGGAGTATACCGTAGGTGATAACTAGTGTTCAAAAGGTCATCCCTATCAGAACCAAGGGTTCTGGTGTAAGAAACCATCATGTAAGGCATTTTGGAATTACTGCCTTTTGAATGAATTGGCTGTTTCTTGTTGTAAACTTCTTGTGCAATTACAGCTGTGATCTCCCCATTACCATGCATTTTCATAAAATGTATAGATGTAATCTTATGATTACATCTCAATCTTATGGGCACAAAAATCTGTGGGTGGTCAGGAAGATGACTTTTCATTTAGCTCCATAATTTTGCTATATAGAAAATATACTAGGATATGTTTCATAGCCAGATCCATTGTCCCACGAGACTGTAGACAATTAAAACATGTTTTGTTCCTTTTGCTCAGACTAATACAGAAAACAATAATCTCTCCTCAGTCTAACACAAACTGCACACATTTAGCTCATTTTTACCTCAGAGCAAGTTCAAACTAGACTAAAGACCTTTGTATATAGATCATAGTTTAAAACTTTACAGTTATGCACAAGGTCAGAGTCACAGGTGTCTACCAAGGTTACTAACACAAAACACCCTAAGCAATGCCTGCCAATTCTTCACTTGCCAAGTCTCCTGACAAAAAGCTATGTCTCAGAGTTTGTTGTACTGGGTAGTGTGCTGGAACAGATTTATATCTTGGTGTCATAGCAAAGGGGTTAAAAATCCATAGAAATTTAAGGACTCCTAAGAACTGTTTGTAGTCAATGCTCTATCAGTTTATCAAAACTACATTTATCAATGCTAAAACTTTGAACCTCCAATGTTATATCTGAAACTAGTCTATCCTGTACCATGATGTCTGTAAATGGGGCATACCTGCTGTATTTTTAACAGGAAACTTATTAATGAGCTATCAAGGTACTTGTAGTCTTGGGATAGGGGCTGTTAAACTGGTACCTAGTCATCAAACACTGTCAAATCTGAGAAGGATAAATTTAAGAACAAGTGAGACAGCTTTCCAGCTGCCTAGTCAGCAATCCCAAGTCTCTTCATGGTTGTTGGGGGTACAGACACCCCAAAGGCAGCACTTGTTCAGCTTGCCAAGCCCATAAGATCTGACAGATTTTTATTTTTATTTTTATTTTTGGTGAAGTAGGAATTGGGGGAGACCGACCCATCTTGACTTTGCAGCATGGGGCAATCTATCCTCCACTGTTCCACTTATTCACAGTCTGGACAGGATCTCAGCAGCAGTCTAAGGTGACTTTTCACTACATAGCTGGCCTTGCCATAAGCCTCCAGGTGGAAGTTCTTCTGCGGCCATCCATCTTCTTGGAGGAGGTACAGGATGCTGCCAGGAGCTGACATGTCTCTCTATCATAAAAAGCCTTTATATTAAATACCATATTCTCAGATTCCTAAAGGTATTTGAGGACTAGGGGAACAAAATCTGTTAGATATATCTAAATTAACTTTGAGAGAAAATATAAGTTAAATCTGGATATACAGTTTTGCCAGTTAGTTACAGCTGGTGAAGACAAGGAAGCTAGACATACATTCTTGTACTGTTATTTTTTGAGGCCCTGTAGTTCTGATCTTTGAGTACAGTCAGATTATAATCCTGAATGACTTATATAGAAGTAATAATTTCTTAAGGTCATATAATACCTTTTGGTTCTGCATAAAGAAGGTCAAGTGTCTTACTTATTGCAGAACCATTTTAGCTAATAAACCTATTAATTGACAAATTTGGGTAAGGTTTCCTGGTATATCAATGGGCATTATAGGTAGATATTTTATCCTCTATGCCAGGGAGTTTCTCTTTGAAATAGCCTTTAGCCTGTTTTTTTTTGGGGGGGAGGGTGTACAGGGACCTTGTACTCTCTTCTATAGCTGCTTCAAGCTGAAACAGGGTGCAGGAGGTCTGGACCCAACAAGGCTGAGAGGCTGGTCAAAGGTAAGGAGGAAATTTAGGCAATGGGGTATTAATCAGAAGCATCTGATTTTAATCCAGCTGGAAACAAGGAGCATTCATATCGGCTGGCTTGGTCCATACCAGCTTTCAGTAAGTCCATGGCTCACAGGTTGAAGTCAGCAGCTAATGCCTGGATGTGTCAGTCAACCAAACGGAAGCCTGCTAAAACAGGCTAGAGGCAAGAGTTAAAATTTATGAACTTATTTGGAACCTTTAGGCCCATAGCCTAAATTGGGAAGGGGAGGTGTTGTACTTATCTAGAGTCCTTTTGACCTCTGTGAAGTGGATTCAATGGCTTATTTTGATCCTCTGAGGCTTATATGAATTTTTGCTTTATAAAAGGACATTAAAGTTTTAGACATATTAGTATTATTGGTCAGTATTGAAATCTAAATCATAGAAAAGCAGGTAATGGGTATCTAGGCTCATACCTTTGAGTACTAGCAAAATTACAGATTTGGGTTAAAAGGTATGTACATTTTTGTTTAGAGAGAGCCATGTACAGATTGGACAGAGATTTAATTCTGTGATCAGAATTCTATTAATGTTAAAATCTGAATTTTTGAAATCTTAATATAACAATATCATAGAAGGGGAAAGTGATTTGAAACATTTAAATCTCTCAAATGTCTTCCTGGAATATCAAAAATAAAGGATCTTCTTAAGAGGGAGAAAACACATATGGCACAACTATAATCAAACCATTATCGTCTGGGTGACTCTTAAATTATAAAGTTTAGCTGCCAGAGCAAGGTGTAATCTTATATATAAAAGCATTGAGGTGCAGCTTTAATATCTTATTAAACAAGCATTGTTTTAATTCCCAGTGTTAATAGTTTTAATTTTTTCTTTAATTTTAACAGATTTTTAATCATATCTAATAAAATAAATTTAGCCGGGCGGTGGTGGCGCACGCCTTCAATCCCAGCACTCGGGAGGCAGAGGCAGGCGGATCTCTGCGAGTTCGAGGCCAGCCTGGGCTACAGAGTGAGTTCCAGGAAAGGCGCAAAGCTACACAGAGAAACCCTGTCTCGGAAAACAAAACAAAACAAAATTATAAATCTTAAGGTAAGGGAGAACCAATGTGTGCTGAGGAAGACAAAGGTGGCCTCTTCATCGCTGACTCACACGTTGTAGTAAACTGTAAAGCTGCAAGAAAGCAATCAGAAAGCAGTCCTGGTACAGGTGGGAGGGAGCAGATCTGCCACATTAGGGTGGAGACTTGGGAGAGGCAGGCCCTGACCACATCAAAGATAGTGATGAAGCCAAATGACATGTCTGTCTTTGACCTCAGTCAAGATGGTGCCTCTGACCACATGCTCACCCTCTGGCATGCTTTTTTTTTTTTTCCAAGACAAACCGAACAGATAAGGAACAGAGAACCTCAAGCATCTAAAATCAGGCAGAAATATAGTCAAGTGGCCAGACATTTCTGCAGCTCATCTACCACCCCTTCCAATTGGCAGCTGGAGGGGCCTGGATCCCCAAGCACCTGAGGGTCCCCATCCCACAATGCACTGACTCCTGTCCCACTTGTCAGCCTGGGGTGGGGCTCAGGGCCACGTGCATTATCTGCCCAGAGAGCCCTGACTCAAGTATGCACCACCCCCCCATGGGCTCCCACACCAAGACAGGACATTCCTGGGCCCCGCACTTCAGCCTACCCCTTCCCTGGTCATCTGGAGCCGAGCCTGGTTGGGCAAGAGGGACAGGCACATGCAGGAAAATGGCAGCACCAGTTTCCCCAAGTGGAACAGGCAGATGAGGTCCTGGCAACAGAGTTAAGCGAGAGAGAGAGAGAGAGAGAGAGAGAGAGAGAGAGAGAGAGAGAGAGAGAAGAAAAGAGGCAAGAGATGAAATTACAGACAAGGAAAGGATTAGAGGCAAAGGACAGACAAAGAGAATGAGCTTTGCCTGGCAGGCAATTTTAAAAGGTGCACATGTCACAGAAAGGGACCTGGTGACAGGTGATGATGTAACTGCTTTGGCAGAGACTGGAAGAGCATGAGGGAGCAGAGATAAGGAAGGACTCCAGCAGGGTAGAGCTGGGATAGAGGTTAGGTGGTAGGCACATTTTCCACAGTGAGGTAGAAGGTCCAACAGACTGACCTCCAGCATCCCAGAGGGTCAGCGTGGACCAGTGATGGCTCCAGATAGCCAGTGGACCATCATCCAAAGGCTATGGGCAGTGGGGTACCGTGCAGGGACGAGGACCTGAGGGCAGGACCGGGGAAGCGTAGTTGCTGGTACTGGAATTTTGAGAAACCATGGTCAAGAGATAAGATGAATCCTAACTCATGGAAAATGGCCAGAAGGGAAGGGAGGAATCTTACTGATAGGGTAAAGAGTCTCAGCGGTTCTCTAGTTGGAAAAATGATGGTGTTAGATGGCACAGGGTCCCAGCATTTCTCAGACTGCTGGTGGGTAGAAGAAAATGCCAGGGGAACCTGCTGTGTCACACGACACCACATGGTGTGGGAGACCTTGGCAGGTTGGGCCAAGGTGCCCAGGTGGATGAGGGAGACATGCCATGCAGACATGGTGGGTAGCAGCGTGGCACAGTGGAAAGTCACTCATACCATGCAGACACAGCATCCACATCAAGAGTTTATTATGTGAGAGAGACAGAGAGAGAAAGAGAGAAAGAGTAAAAGAGGGAGAGAGGGAGAAAGGGTGGGAAAGAGGGAAAGCAGAGGTGTGCACACCCCATGGCAAGAAAGGAAGGAAGCAGAAGAGGAAGAAGTGAAGGGTTTTTCCTTAAAGGAGGCTTTATGTCGAGATGTAGTGCAGGTCCCCAAGGGGTGGGCCAGAATGCCAACAGATACTAAAAGGAGCTTCATAGAAATTGTTTTCTAAGGCTCAAACTTAACAGAGATAAAGCTATAAAGTTCTTTCCCCAACATCAGGCATTTGGATAAAGCTCACCTTCCCTCAGGGGGTTGAAGAAAGTTCCTGCTTGCTAAAAAGGGATTCATTCTCCTCATCTCTGGTAAAAGGAACTAATGGCCTTTCCATTAACATATTGCTGTGGTGGCTATTAACTTGTCAAGGACAACGCTAGCCTCCAGGCTCCCCCAGTTCCTGCTCACAAGCCCTACCTACCCCATCAAGTCACAGTCTTACGAAAGATAAGATATTGTAAACTGTTAAGGATAATTAAGAGAAATATGACTAAAATGAAGTCTTTAGTGAACAAATGGCAGCAGCTGCTGAGAGACATTTGATTATGAAAGGAACTGCTGAATTAAATCAGCCTATAAACTTTAGGATGTCTTAGCTTCAGAACAGAAGTTGGGAAATGCGTTGCACTGGGGGAAAGATTGTGCTTTTGTTTCCACAAAACCTATGGATTCCTTCAAAATTAATAAAGATCAGATTTGCCCAGGGGAGACCTCCTGAGGATCTTGTCTGCAGATGTGAGGAAGGAAGCCAGGAAAGACTACAGGACAGGTGACATGTGTGCTGATCCCTCTGCAGGGAACAGTTCTGAGAGTGGACAACAAGTGTTACAACTAGCTCTCCCAGGACTTGATCATTATCCAAATTTTTAAGGGTCTTCTGGAAAAGCTGTCACCCCAGACATCAGGGAGCAATCTAGAGAACACAATGCCCATATTCCCAAGAGTTGGATGGATGGTTTCTGGCCATTTGGTAGATGTTTGTCATTGTTTAATGGTGTTGGTTGTAAGTTGTTATTGGTCATGGTTAGGAAGGAAACTAAACAAAGGAGGTTAGATTCAGGGATCTTTTTTAAAAAAAAGGTGGGAGAGATATTAGGAAAAGGTAAATTATTGAATTTACTTTAAATTAAAAGAAACTACTAGTCTCAAATATTTCACATTGATATCAATTTTTGTATACTGATAGAAATTTGAGGTTATTTTTGTTATACTGTATATATGTTTCTACTCTTGTTTAAGGTATTGCACCTATGCAACTCATTTAAAAATATAATATATAATTAAGAAATACAGATTAGTAGTTAGTCATCTATAATTATCAAACTTATAGTCATATTAGGTATGTTTTCAAGGTTAAACCTAGATTTGTTTAGCTCATATATATTTAATAGATAATGGTCCTCAAACTTATCAGAGATCTGATGAATATGGCATTTAAATTGCATAATGGGAAAATCTTACTATAACTGACAGAGACTCCCAGATCCTAGCAGTGACCCCAAGGTCTCCAAAGAAGATGATGGGGAACCATGATGACTCCACCTGGGTTTGGTAACACTAATCACTGGGAAAGACTGCACCAATGCCGCATCTGCAGCCAGGACCCTGCCCAAACTGTGGGTGAGTGGGATGCTGAAGAGTTGAGTACCTCACTTTGCTTAGACAAAGTAAGATCAGTCTCTCCCATGTTCCTCCTCCACAGGAAAAATCTCTCACCTTATGGGCCTGGTGGACAAAGACTGATACTGTCCTGGTATCTCTGCCCTGAATGCCATGGAGACCACAGATGCCTGGGATACTTATCTAGGTAATGGATTAGTCTCTGCCATTTTACCTGATACACAGGCCATTTGGATTATACTCATTACAATTTATCCTTCTCAAATATCTGATGGTATTAATGGCTAGGCTAATTGTAACTGTTAGCTTAGTAGAAGCAGGCAACAGGGTTCTTCCCCAAGGTTACACCAGCTTGTTATCTCATTTAATATTGATTTTTCTAGAGCTACTAGGTATCCTGTTGAGAAAAGGTAGATAGGTTTGCCTTGTTAATAGGCTTTGTATGAAGAGATAAACAGGTTTCAGGTACAACTTTCCACTAAAGGAACATGATTTGAAATTACTGCTCTCAGTAATAACTGCTATTGTCTCTGGTAAATGAATAGGTGGAAAAAAGGGTTAAAGTCGGGGGCTGGAGAGATGGCTCAGAGGTTAAGAGCACTGACTGCTCTTCCAGAGGTCCTGAGTTCAATTCCCAGCAACCACATGGTGGCTCACAACCATCTATAATGAGATCTGGTGCCCTCTTCTGGCCTGCAGACATATGGGCAAGCAGAATACTGTATACACAATAAATAAATAAATAAATCTTTAAAAAAAAAAAGGGTTAAAGTCTGTGCAAGTTTTGAGGGTCTAAGAATGTTTTAAGATATATCAAAGTCTGAGGATATAAAAGCTTAAATACATTTTAAGAATCTCAGAATGATTTAAGATGTAAATGCAAGTAGTAAAGATATAAATAAATGATTTAAGATATATAAAAATGGGAAATGTTTCAGATTTCTTTCCCCATCTATGCTTTCTATGCTATTGTTACATTACACCAAGACTTCAAAAGTTCAGAGTTCTGATACACATCAATGGAGTTCTGATAAGCTGGTAGAGCACTGACTACTTACTGTTCAGTCATAAGCTCAGATTTTAGATTTCTTTTGGTTGTCTTCTAAGTATATACTTAAAGATGCTTCCATTGGGCTAAAGACATTTCAGCCCAGTTGATACATGGCTTTCTGGAGAGAGAAAAAAATGTTCATGCTTTTTAACCCAAATCTATAGCTTTTGCTAGAACTAAAAGATGTGAATCTACTCCAGCTATTTTATAGACACCAGTTACCTACTAATGATACCTAAAACTTTTATATCTTTTTATAAACTTAGAAAAATAATCATGTAAGCTTCAGCAAATCAAGGGAGTCATAAGACTTGGATCCACTTCTCACAGGTCAAAAGGACCCCAGATAAGTATAGCCTAAGTTTCCCACCTGTCTATTCCTGAAGATGGTATCTCTCTCTCCTGGTCTTGGGACTCCCCCCCTTCCCCAATTACTAGGATTATGGTTGTGAAAAAGTTCCAAATGTACTATTTTCCTTTAAGTTCATAAATTTTAACTTCTTTCCATAGTCTATATCTGTCTTAGCAGGTTTCTACTTAGCTGACAGACACATGCAAGCATCAGCTGTGGACTACAACCGGCTGCAAATGACTGAGAGCCCTGGACTTGCTGAAGGCTGATGTGGACCAGTCCAGCTGATGTCAATGCTCCCTATCTCTTCAGCTGTCTCTGCAAACAAGATGCTTCTGTTACATGTCCCATTGCTTGAATTCCCTCTTGGCTTTGACTAGCATTATAGCCTTCCTGGGCCCTGACAACAATGTCCTTGTCTCAGCAGGAAGTAGTTACAGAAGAGAGTACATCACCCCTTGTCCCCCAACAGGCTGGAATATCAAATCAAAAGGAAACTCCCTGGCATAGGGGGCAAAACAGTTGCCTATAGTGCCTATTGGCATACCAGGAAAGGTACCTGCTGGAACCAAATAGACCCAAATCTATCAACAGGTAGATTCATTAGCTTAAATAGGGCTATGATAGGGTACTCAAGCTGTTCTGTAATGTAAAACAAAGACATTATCATATAGCTTTAAGAAAAAAAATATTATTTCTATATAAACCACTCTGGAATCATTAGAAATAATCTGGCTGTACTAAAGGAAATCACTGTAGAAAAGGGGGACCTGAGATGAAATAAAAACTGGTTCCCATTCTCATTTCCAGGTTCTTTTTTGATAGAAACTCTGTCATTCATCAAGGGGCCTTTGGCCTTCTGCTTTTGCTAATTGCTGTTGGCTCTTGCATCATTGATGCCTTAACTAAATGATAATTCCTGTCTGGGTATCATTAAGCTGATGATTATTAGATCCCAATATAAACAGGCACCCATTACAGAGTCAAGGATTTGACTCAGGATACATCTCAAGGGGGCAATGTGAGAGTCAAAGTTACATTTTAAGTTTTAATTACTATGCCTAAGAGATCCATGAAACAAAAATGCCTCTGATCTGCAATCTCTTTTCCCAAGGACAGATAGTTCCTAAAATGCTGGAGGCTATTCTTTATGGGAGATAACGAGCCACTTGTTTTTCATTCCCCTAAACAAGTTTTTTGACCCATCTGCATTGATGTACTTGGTCACATATGGGCAGGAGGTTCACAGGCTGGAGTTACGTCAGGATGTATGCTTGACCCTGATTGGACCAGATGGGAAATGCAATGAATTACGGGTTTTCCTTCTTAAGTTGCTACAAATTGTGATTCTGGGCCATTTTCCAGGATCCTTGGTATGGACCTGGCCAGAGCCTATCCCCGTGGCCAGTATTTAATTAAAGATTGCTTCAAATTTGGCTTTAAACTGTGGTAGTGGTCTGATTCTTGATCGATGGGATTAACAAGGCACTATATGCTAAGTAGCACAGCATGTGTTTTCAGGACAGAAGTAAATTGATCAATAGTTTGTGGAACAGACCTAATATAGCTCAGAGAACTAACTTCACACATAAATTCACTGTGGTCTATGGGGAAACATGATGGCCTCTCTGTAAAAAATGATGCAATGCTGGAAGTGAGGGGAGCTGGTGGTAGGTATAGATTGGCACTCATCTTCAGAGTAGTGAATATGTGACAAATTCCTCTCTGATTCAGTAAAATGTAGATTAATATAAGCAGGTTAATTTAAGTTATAAGAGCTAGTGGGACAAGCCTAAGTAAAGGCCGAGCTTTCATAGTTAGTAATAAGTCTCCATGTTGTTATTTGTGAGCTCTCGGCCTAAAGAAAAATCCTTAAATGTCATGGTTGACACTTCTTTGGGTTTTGATTTATTGTATGAGTGTTTTGCCTGCACCTATGTGTGTATTCCACATGCAAGTCTGGTTCCTGAGAAGATCAGAAGAAGGTACTAGATCCTCTAGAACAGGAGATAGAGATGGTTGTGAGCTGCCATGTGTGTGCTGGGAACCAAACTGGGTCTTCTGCAAGCCCAGCAAGTTCTCTTTTTCCCAGAGCTAACCCTTCAGCCTCCACCGTTGATGACTCTTTATTACATCAGAGGTTCTGGGTGACTTGCTCAGGCATTACACAGTAAAGAAGGGAGGACTGTGATTGCCCCAAGGTGGTTGAGGAAGGAAGAGGAGTGTGACTCCAACATGGTCTCATGAGTGTCAGGGCTCAGGGTTTGGTCTGTAAAGGAAGAATGAGAATGAGAACTCAAGTCCCTGACCTGTGTCTCAGGTGACCAGGTCTCACCTCCTCTTCTCTGAGCTGCTCTTATTCCCAATTAGTCTAGAGAAGGGAACAGGTCACCACTCTTCCTCCTGTGGGTTGTTTCCTCCTGCTCTGCCCCCAAGGGTCTCACTGAAGTGCTCTTGTTGACATCATCCAGGGAACATCTTAGCATCCCTACTGGGAACAGAAATGGTCCTTTCCCAGCTCTCCTGGGAGAGGCTCAGAGAGGAGTCAGGGTCATAAAACCTCAGCCTCTGGTCCCACTGGGAAGAGGTGAAGATGTCTGAGCTTGCCTTTGTTAAGCAGGATTTTATAGGTGCCATCTTCAGGAGCCAGGGCTGGCCTACTTGCAGAGGAAATGAGAGACTCAGGCTCTCAAACTCCACAGCACCCTGGAATTTCTCTGGAGATTGAGCTGCCTAGAATCCTGATTCTGTGGACTCAGTTACTTTAGACGGTCTCCTCTTTAGACTCTTTCTCATTAGAGAAAGAAACAGCTAGTCAGTGACACAATTGCTGCATTTAGAAGTGGTAAGATGGTCACTGGTGTTTGGCTTGTGGGTGGGGTTCAGGCAAGTGGGTCTAGAGGTAATAATTAGTCAAGCCATCCATCTCAGGTCCTCTGTGCTACATTTCAAACTCCCCAGACCTCTTCCCTCACCGCCTGCTCGTCTTTCCTCTTTTTCTCAACCTTGTGTCTTTATTTCCTTTCTCCCTTTATTAATCTAATAAATATTTACAGCATGTTTGTACTTTTTACATCATATTGAGAAACAAAGAATGTGGAGCCCTGAGCTCAAAGATCTGAAGTGAAACAGAAAGCCATGTCCATGAAAGAGCAGTGACGGTCAATGTCTTTAAGGAGACACCGCACCACAGAGATATAGCTTGATATTTTGTGGGCCAAACAGTCATAATTTTGGGGGGGAGAGAACGGGGGTTGTGAGTTTGCTGTAGCCTATCCTGGCCTTAAACTCTATATATTCAAGTATATCTTGGACTTCTGATCCTAAACCTTCCAGATGCTTGCTTGCAGGTTGGAGCTAGCATGTATAGCCTTTCCTGCTGGAAATCAACCATGCCGTCTTCAACTGTGAATATTGGGCTCACAGACTTGGGGCAGCAGGCCTCATGGGTCACTGGAAGCCAAGTCAGAGGCCAGGGGGCTGGAAACCACAAAAGGCTGTGGATCACTAGATGATATCCCATGTCATGGCTCACCTCAAATCCTCTCTCCTTGGATCCTTCTACTGTCAGTAAACCCCAGGGCCTCCCACATTCAGACAGGAGGGGAAATCTCACCAGGAGAGCTGGTCTGTGGCTAGCCATCCAGCTCTGTCCTAGGAGGACTCTGGCCTGTGCTGAGTCTCAATAAGCTCAAGTAGATGGACAATGTGAAGACTTTGCCTTCCTTACCTCCCCACTTCAGAGCCTGTGTGCCAGAAGCAGAGAAGGTGACTGAGAGCCAGGCTCTGAGGACACACCACCTAAACCCCCACTTCTCCCATGCTGAGCTTGCAATCTGAAACAAACCTCCCTCTCCAGGCCTTAGGTGCTCACCTGTAACACAGGTAAGAATACTTCCTTCAGTGAACTGTTGTGCTGTTAAACTAAAGTTAGTGCAGCATTGACTGGAATATATAAATTATCCAAGTAAATATTAGTTCTTTTCTACTGTTGCAAAAGTTAGGAAGTCACCCATACAGCCAGACTCCTTCAGAGACAATTCTTCCTTAGTGCTGTGGGGTTTCAGTTAACAAAAGAGTAACAAATGTTTTGTCCAAGTGGCTTGGTGTCAAAATTGATATCAGACCCCTCTAGGATTCTTAAGATTGTAATCAGAAAATGAATAAGAAATTCAGGATGTATTCTACCTGGGTTAGGGGTGGGAGGTGGTAGCATAACAGAGATGCCTTCCTGGTGAGCTGAGTCTTCCTGTGGTCATGATGCAGGTGGTGATCACCTCTCCATGATGAGAATCTAGGCAAATGCCTTAAGGTGTGAGAGAGGCAGAGGCATGCAGGATACCCATAGTGCTTGCATGGAGATTTGTGCATGGAGAGATTGCAGACAGAGGAGACAGTTGTGCGCTGAGTCTGAGTCTTTATAGGCAGGCAGGTTACGAATGACCTGTGCATCTGACTCAAATGATGGGTCATGAGAGCTCTTAAAAAGAATTTTAACAGGGGCCGAATAGCAGCAGTGTGGTTTCTTTTAAAACTGAGGTAGCAGTCACATGGAGAATGTGTTGATGCAGACAAATGGCCAGCAGTGAGAAGGGGAAGGGGACTCCAAGTCCTGCCCCTAAACAAGAAGATATTGCAGTTGATACCTGCTAGGAAAGGTAAAATCTGTTTTTTCCAGCAGAGAGTCACTGAGCATATCAGTTATACTCCAGGGCAGCCCTCATGCCTGGGAGGAGTTGGCCAATAGGAAAATGATTCCATGGTTTGGTTTTGTTTTTTTTCTTTTGATTTTCTTTCTTTAATTTTTAAAACAATGTTGTTTGTTTGTTTTGAAGGAGAGAATGGGAGGAGAAAGAACATGAGGCTGTGTGGGAAGGATCTGGGAGAAGTTGGAGGAGGGAAAGACTATGATCTAAGTATATTGACTGAAATGTTTTCAAAATTTAAAATTAAAAAGACTGTATTGAAAGAGGAAAATTAAGAGGCAAGGGGCACATGGAGATGCTGATGCAGATGCTGATGCTGGTGCAGAACTGCTGGGAGAGATGATGGACTTCTGACCTGGGATGAAAGGAAGGACAGAGGGGAGGGTCATGAGCAGTATACTGGTCAGGAGAAGGGATGGGGACAGGGGAAGGGAAGACAGGATGTCTAGAAATCTCTTTCATATTTCTACTCCCATGAAAACCAATTCCTGCCTTAACCACTGTCTTGTTAATTAGCATGGGTGGTGCCATAGTTCAGACTATTTTGAGTAGTGTTTGCATATTTCCTTCACAGGTCTTTCCTTGAGCATGTGTTTGTATGTGCCTTTGTGTTTACATAGTGTTTCAGAACTGTAGTTGACATTTGCATTGCTGGGCAATGCATTAAGTGTTTTCAACGTTAGGGAACACAGCCAGGCACACACTAAGGGATCATTTTAATTTACTCTCCCATTGGATCCAGTTACTCTCATCAACACTAGATATCTGTTACTGTGGTCATGCTGGTAGGTGTGTGAGGATGTGAGGTGGAGAAGAGGAAGGTGGGCATTGGCACTGTGGTGTTCTCCTGCACTTTCCAGATGAGTAATGGTGCTGAGGACCTGAGCCTCATCAGTGCTCACTAGACAGCTGCCTTGTTAAATGCCCTTTAAATATTGTTCACTGTTCCATTGGAGCATCTGTTGTTATGATATATCTTTCCAATTCTCTGTATAAATATTTTGAGCACTTCTTTTTTGTTTATTCTAAATTATCATTATGTTTTTCCCTCTATGGAAAGTGCTCTTTAAAAAAAAAATCTTACTTTTGCTTCCCCTAAAATGATAAATATATTTATCAGGTTTGACTCAAAAAAAAAATGGTTGCTTTGTATTTGCCACTTAAAGCTACAGTACACCCAGAATTGATTGTCTGTGTGCAGAGGGAGGTAGGAGTAAAAAAGGAAGAAATGACTTTCTTGCTCCCATATCCACACGGTCCATCAGCCTTCCCTGGGAAGACTCCAGTGTCTCCAGTGCATTGCACACATGAACTTCTGTCATTACTCATGGGACTGTATGTGTGAGGGCCTGTGCATGAATGACATGTGTTCTGTCTTCTTCATCTACTATTTAGTCTCTTTTGCATGTGTCTCTGCTCTGTGTGTGTGTGTGTGTGTGTGTGTGTGTGTGTGTGTGTGTGTTCAGAGACTGACAGGGGATCCTTCCTCAATTGCTCTCTCCTCATTCATTGAGGCAGGGTCTCTCAGTTGAACCCAGTGTTCATGATTTCATCTAGTGTAGCTAGCCCTCTTCTTTTTATAAGAAAAATTTTTTCATTCATTTTACACACCAATCAAAGATCCCCCTCTTCCCTCCTCCTGCCCCCCAGGATCCCCCTCCCAAACCACCTCCACTGCCCCCTACAAGAAGACAGGGCCTCCCATGGGGAGGCTCATCCAGTAG